ATTAGTCATTACTAACGCTGACACACAGAGCAACTGGCTTTGAGTTATGAGCTGCTGAAATCAGAGAACAAATCCGGATATGAGCAAAATGAATGCCATCAACATTGTTTCAGAATACCATTTGTCAGAAAAACCTCAGAGTGAAGCAAGTAATCTGATTCCCAGCAGCGGCTCTAACTTCTGGAGGAGCCCTGTAGTCAAGTTAACCAGTTTTGAATATGACAGATTGTGTACAGGGAAAGGTTGAAGGGGGAATTGTTTATTGTAATAGGTGATCAGAGGGGATAATGATTATTTGAGAAATGAAGAAGCAACATATTTATTTTAGACAGCTGTTGAAAAAATGCTGAGTGGTCCAAGAATCACTGACTGGAGTAAGGAGTTGGCAGGGACAGTGGTGCGAGCTGGGAAACGCTGCTGGCAGTATACTGTATGTGTGACCACCATATGAACATGTGACTTTCTATAACAACATCTCCATGCAACTGCGTGGTTAGACTTTTTACCATATCATTTAGTGCTCAAATCTGACACAAACAACTTTTCAAACTGCTCTGCACCTTCTGAAGTGGTGGCTGTTGTGACTTTATTCAACCATTAATGATTGCATTAATTTTTTACTTAACTTTAAAAGTGAATAGTTATATATTTTGGGTAGTTAACAATTTACTTTTATTTGCCATGGGTTTTGTGAGAAGATCAGTAGCCTTCTACTATCGTGTCTATACTTTAATGATGGAGCAGCAGCCAACAGCTGGGCAGCTTAGCATAAAATGTGAACATAGGCGCTAACAGACTGGCTATGAAGGCAAAATTATTGGTTTAAATCCTAAAAATGTGAAAAACAACAAGTTGACATTTTCTGAAACTTTTTTAGACTTCGCTAAATTGCCATAAACTATGGCAGCTTTGATGTGCTGGTTGAGATTTCATGTTGCTTATTGTCTTTTTCAAATACAAAAGGATGAAATACTTTCTGTGATCAATTGTTAGATTTGAAGCCAAAGCATAGAAGGTGTACAACAAGTGCCGGCTGAATCATTGATTTAAATAGTTCATGTTTAGTTTGGACCCAAAGCAGCCTATTTCCTCAATAATAAAGTGATACAGAATGATTCCTAAAATCCGGAAATGAGTAAGAATTTGTTATCACTTCAGGTTTGTCTCGTGATCAATGTGTTTTTGAATAGGTAAAGTGCGTGTAATAAGGTATTGTGTTAAAAAACTCCAAAGAGATATTTTTCATGCTATGTTCCAAGACAAAAACATCTACCAAAAAATACCCAACTTGTGGATTAATAAACTTTAGTTTGCTTATTTCTTTTAATAATCAGATATTAAATGGAAAACTCCTACTGGTTTTTTTTCAAGGGAACCAGCGTGCTAACATCCTGTTTGGCCTACAAAAATACGTCATCCCTGCAGCATTTAATAATTTGTTCATCTGTTACGGCTGCTGCCTTCCTGGTCGTCTGAGTGTTTTCAGCTGTGTGTGTTCTATGTAAATGAGCTGTGCGGTTGCCCTCCCGGCATTGGCTGCCATCTCCTGGTCCGCCCCTGAAGATTGCGATTGGAGCACGCCGGGCCAGACGCACTCCAATCGCAGCGCACAGCCGGCGCACACCTGTTGGAGATGACTACAAAGCTTGGGGACAATCATCATTCTGGAGGCTCTGTATGTGGACAGATGCCTCTCGCTACTTGCTCTTTGTTCTGGGGTTAAACTTGTGTGATTAGTAGAGTAGCTAGTTAGTGTTTAGAGTAGGGTAGGATTCTGTGACGGTTGCCTTTAGTTTAGCTGTGTTTTGTATTGATTCTTTGGTTAGTTGTACCACTTTTAAAGTGAGGTTTTGTTTCATTCTTTATTTAGTATATTAGTATTTATTTTCCCTGTATGTCTTTAGACTCACCTTTTAGAGTCCTCCCTTAGTTTGGTTGCCCATTTAAACTTGCGCCCTTGTGGCCTCTATTGTTTGTTATTTAAACCGGTGTTTTTGGCTCTTTTGTTTGTTTCAGGCTGTTTGCCTGCCATTTTGTTCATCTGTTGTGCATTAAAACCACTTATAATTATACCAATACCAATCTGGTTGTGTTGCTTCCCTTTGATTCCCCTAGCTCAGAAGGGAACGTAATAACATCCAATATTAAAGGTATGTGACCAATATGAATTTACTGATCCAGTGAAAACTAAACCTGAGAGTATTTGACTTACTGAGGAAAACACTTAGTTTGTGTGACCCAAGTGAATACACCCACACACATATTGAATGACACACACACACACACACACACACACACACACACATCAGCACCATCAGCAGATGCTAAAATGCTTTCCTGTATGGGGGCACAATACATCTCCAGACAAAAAGATGAAACTGTAAAAGCAGATAGATAACTCTTTTATCTATTTCTGAACTGAAAATTCACTACACAAAAATAACCTAAATTAAAACAAGTCTAAACATGTACAAGTACATTTAAAGTCCACATATCTGTGTCTGATTGGCTTGTTGTCTGACAGGTCATCTCGTGTGGTTAAGATTTTCCTAGTTGCTTTGGAATTATATAACAGCGGAGATCAAAGTCATACCCATTAGCTGCTGATTTCATGGGAACTTGCTGGTTTCCATAATTCTGCGTTAAAGCTTTGAAATAAGTGACTCTACATACTGTATATTTGTGCGGGACTTAACAGAGTCAGCAGGGTGACTAATTCCTGGCCGGGAGCTGTTTGCATTGCCGTCGCCTGGCAAACTGAACACACGGCAGCTTCACTGAGCTGCAGCAAGAGATAGCAAGATAGGTCAGATTGTATTAGTAGATTCAATCATAGATGTGATAATAGCACTATGATTTTACCCAAACTACGTTTATTTTTGGTTTATCTATTTCACTAATTTTGGTTTTTGCTACTGTTTCTTGGCCCGTTCTCTATCGCAGAACAGGTATCCATCTACAATTGCCTCACCTGGTTAAACAAATAGATATTAAGATAAGACCAACACATAAATAAACACCTTTATTCTGGTCAATAGTATAAATGGCAATAACTGTTACCATTCTCTTCTCGTATTTTTTAAATCCAAGCTCAAGACTTGTACTTTTGCCGTTGCTTTTAATTGAACTATTTATATCTCACACTGCACTGTACATTTTATTCATGTATTTATTTTTATTTTATTTTATTATCTTTGCTTTTTAATGTCTGTTTTTAAATGCCATATTATAATGTGTTTCCTTAATGCTCTTGATGTCGTTCATTTTTGTAAAGCACTTTGAATTGCCTTGTGTTGAAAGTTGCTATATAAATAAACATGCCTTGCCTTGCCTTATATAAACTCTAAAGACACAACATTAGTAATGAGTATTATGCCATCAATAGTTTAAGTTTTATCTGTGAAGATTGTGAGATTTTTGCCCTGAGGTTTCTGCCACGACCTTAAAGCACTTCAGCCATTTTGTGTAAATTAAATCAAAAGGATGATCAAATATCCTCAGTAGCATTTTTCAACAGACTTCCTCAGCTTGTTATAACACAAGCTTTCATTAAAACGTTTTTTTTCTCTTATATAAGGCCAGATATCTTCACTTTGAAGAAATAAACTATTTTCAGGGAGCGAGTAGCATTCCTCGTGATGAGTAAATTGAGGAAAGTTGGTGAAGGGAATTTCATTTATGGTTCCCACAGCACAAAAAAGTAACATCTTTTAAATAAAAATAGTTTCCCTGATACTCACTGCAGTTCTCTTTCAAGAAAATGTTGCAGCTGGACCATCTGCTGGGTTGGTGAGATGTGAGGGCGAACTGACCATCTAAGGTCTAAGCTCTTTGTTGTTATAGCATATTAGCAATAAGATCCTATTGCTTCATTGGCATCACAAAGGCTGATATTGGCACTAATGTGAGAGGAACACTGTAGAGAATCATGTTTTTACTAATCTCATCTCCTATTTTCTCTATTACTTACGGGAAGAAGCCTGTGGCTCTTTTACCTCCATCGAGCATTTATCAGCTCCTGCATCACTTCTGCTTTGGTTCTGGCGTCTTTCCAGACTGGGATTGTTTAGTGTCCTTTACAACTGAGGCTGACAGCAGAGGTGGAGGAGCAGCAGGTGTTTTCTGCTGTTTATCAATGAGCACATGAGGAGACAGGGTGCAGAGTGTCACCCAAGGACCTGTGTGTTGTAAAGCAGCTTCACAATGACGTTCATGTCAACTTGTATGTGATTTAGGATCCTTTTTTCACAAGCATCACCTCCTTTTATCATAACATATGCAACAAAATAATCTTCCTTTATTGCTGATGTTTCGAAAAGACTTGTGTTAGATTTGTTTGAGTAAAGGTCAGTGAGGCTATTCTTATTTGTACAGGATGTGACTGTGACCCTGTTCACGCAGGCGGTAAATATCAGCCTCTTTGGTTGTTCATTTATACAAGTTATTTGGCAGACTGACAGCAAAGAGGATGGAGTGGAGGGCTTGTTTTACATATCACAGCATACCGCTACTGAACATCAAGCTTAATCTTTTCACAATTTTGATTCAATAATGTGTATTGTTCCTAGAGTCTACAGGATAATGTTACACTACTCTTTCAGGCGTCTTCAAAACGTGTTTATCAAAGTCACTGCAATGCTTGTTTAAGATTAATTGCAATGAATTGGAGCCTTAGATTTTGTTTATTGTTTCCGGAGAGAAGCTGTCCCGGCAGGGTCAACTTCCTGATATTTTTCCCCTCCATTCTCTGTTTCTGTCTGTCTGGCATTAGCTATTTGACACATTACTAAGACCCATAGGCTTTTCGTACACTTCGAAAAATCCTAATTGTATCTAACTTTACCGCAGAGTGTTAAACGTTCCTTTATTTGTCTATAAACTTTGGAGAAGCCTGTTCTTCTCGGGCCATTTGTCTGTGATAATGGGGGTCATGAGAGGATCTCACCAAACCTTAGCAGGAAAAGAGAGTGTGAGAAACTTGGTGCTCATATTATTAACTTCCGCTTTATGTTGACAACATATGGCGACATGTCACAGGTCATGTTTGCTGTGAAACAATAGCAAGGGCATTACAGCTTCATTATAAAATGTACACATTTTCTTTCGTAAAGTTCTCAGTTATTACCGCTAGACTCTAGCACAAACCACATAACGTTTACAGACATGAAATGTGTGGCCACAGATTTAATTCTACATCACAATACATACATGATATAAAATAAAGTGCATAATTTAAATATAAACATTTAAAAATAAATTAAAGACCTTGTTTAACAAGCCACTTAAGCCAAATATCATTTGGCTTATCCTAAAGGCAGGTATTTGATCCATTACATAAAGCAACAATCTGGAGCTGATTTGATAACAGGGAAAAGGAGGCAGAGTTTGCCTCAAAGATGCTGAAACTAAGACATAAAGCTCATTTGAGTGAAAAAGCTCAAACGTTCAAAGGTTCAGTCTATTGTATGTATATATATATATATGTATGTATAGTGGTAATACAGCCGCAGAAATAGCCAATCGACTATCATTATGAGAAATCACAGAAATGATGTTTACAGAAATGGACAATTTTCTGATTTTTTTAACCCCCACATTTGAGTGAAGTTAGATAGATAGATATCTGCCAATGAAAATGATTGTAGCTAAGTGTTTGAAACTTTTTGTAAAGCCCTGATTTTCTGGATATTTGTGCTGAAAATAGAAATTCATGAAAAAGTGTTCTGATCAAACACATCCTTAGTGTGGACAGTCCCTTGAGGCGTGTGATTTATCAACTATAACCTTCTCCTGGAGAATAATAATGTTATTACGAACCATATTTTACACAACATCAATCATCTACAACACATTTTCTCTCAAGTGTGCTGAAATATGTTTGATATCAGATGCTGCTTAACTCAACATTAACGCAACATCTGTCCACAGGTTAACACCTTTTCTGTAGCTCTGGGGAGAGATAAGTGTTACGTGAATCATTGTAGCCTAATTGTAAGATGGGAAAAAAGGTTTTCCTAGTTTTAGATGACTATGTGTGTATTCCAGGGCTTAGGAACAAAACCCTAAGGGTTTGCCACATAATAATACTGCACTGTATATTAGTCATGGAACTAACTCATGTCCTTCAAAAAGCGGTGTACATTAGAGTTGGTTAAATATATAAATTACAATGGCAGCACACATGCCAGTGATTACTCACATTCAATACTGTTTAAATGTATCATATTAACCACAAGCCTGTGACTCAATGATTTAACTGGACCCATTTACTGAATGTCACAGTTATAGGTTTTAATATAGCTGAAATTATGAAAGATATATTCCATCACTGAATATTGAGTCATGAGGTGTGGGTAATCTCTGTTAGAACGACATTTTAGGCAAAACGACACATCGCTCATACAGTCAGAGATGGTCACTTGAGGTAGCTGGATGCTGAAACAGAGAAAAACCGGAGAATAAAGCTCACCGCACTTCAAGTGTAACTTCCTTTCTCACTTCATGTCCCCCGCATCACAAGAGTCATTTATTTTCTTTATGTGCCTCATTTTTCAGAGATTTAAAAGTTCACTTTTGGAGAAGCCATTGAGTAGACAGTCTCACTCAGAGTGAATTTAGAGTTTTTCCCTTATACAAAGTAAAATCAGATGCATTTTTCCTCCACTGTCTGTGTGTTCAACGACACCTGAAGTGCTGTGTCTTTTGGGCATGGCAGAGCTGAAAGGTCCCTGATTACATGTGTCCCTTCTCTACTCTGAGCCTCAACGCTGCCCTGCTCAGACAAATAAGATGCTTGTGAGTTTCTGACTGATGAAGGTTGTGAACCAGAGGGTGTGTCTGATTTATGGCAGCTTCCTTTGTACACTTCACTTCCCTCTGGCAGATAGAGGAAGGTCCGGGAGCTGCTGGTGAAGTCTCTCAGGTCGTGGGAAACCAACGACTTTGAGTCCTGGTTAGAAATGGCCAAGGAGAGTTGTTGGGCGTCTATGTGTAGGTTTCCCTGTCTCTGTTGCCTCTGTGCTCCTATCTTGCAAAATAAACACTTGATTTTCTCAATGAGTTTGAGGAGAACGGCCTTGCGGAGCAGGATGTAGATCCAGGGGTCAAGAATGGGATTAAAGGAGGCGAATCTTATCGCTCGTAGATCAGGGTTTTTGTCCAGACGCAGCTCCACTGGAGTTTTATACAGCTGGTTCAAAAACACCTGAGCCTATAAGGGAATAAAGAATACATTATGAGTAGATAGATAAATGCTTCCAACTATGTGTGAGCTTGCAGCTGATTATGTGTGTTTCTGAGGAAAATATGTGTGAGCTTGCAGCAGTATATGTGTGTTTCTGAGGAAAAGAGTGAAAGACACACTAATAAAAATGAAGAGCAGGGAGACGAAAATAAAAACATGATTAAACTCTTTTTCTCTATAACACCACTTGGATTTGGATGGGGTTGGGAGCCGTGCGTAAAACGTGGGTAATGGAGTAAAGCCAGAGAACGGCAAAAATATGGCAACAAGTAACATGTTAACCAAATTGTTTGGTCTGCAAAAAAAAGAAGTTTACATTTAGTGCGTAAAGGATCAAAAGAGTCTACATGACGCAGAAACAGAGAACTTACAACGAGAGGGATGGAGCAGATAAGCACCACTGCCGAAGTGCCTATAAGCAGAATGACCATCTGAATCTCTGCACCGGCCAGACGTCCAAAGCTGCGTCCTCTCCTCGGCGGCTCCACGGTGCGCCCCAGATCGGTTCCCAGCGACATCCTGCGCACGTATCGCCGGTGCATCCGAATCAGAGCCACGCACACCAGCACGTTGCAGATAACAGTGGCGAGGATCAGAATAGAACTGAAGCCCGCGTACGTGTAGGAGTAGGCTGCATCGCTGGTCTTGTTGCTCCTCCACTCTAAAAAACACCAAGTCTGCGGGTATTGTTTCTTCACCTGTCCAAAGCCGACAATCGGCAGGGCGCAGAAGAGCGCATTGGAGATGTAGATCGCCAAGAGAGTCAAACCCGCCAGTTTTTGGTCCACATAGTCATTGTAGAAGTAGGCATGGTTTATAGCGATGTATCTCTCCACGGACATGGCACAGATGATACTGAGCCCCGACAGGGAGAAAAAGAGCAAGGTGAATCCAAAGTATTGGCACAACGCGTCCTCTCCAGGCCACGAGCCTTTCACATAAGTGGCGATGGTGACCGGGCTGGCCAGCAGTGTGCCCAGCAGGTCCGTCACTGCCAGTCCACACACCAGAGTGTAAAACGTGGTTTCCTTCTGTTCTTTGCGGGATTTGCAAAGAACTACGATGGCGATGACATTTCCAACCACCCCGAAAATAAACATTATGGAAGGAATGGTCGGGACCATTGTCCTCCCTGTCATCGATTGATTATTCATTGTTATGTCCTTCAAACGCAGTTAAAGTCGAGAAACAACTTTTCTTAACGCTATCATTTCTAGTCCAGAGCAATAAACGGATAGAAGTGCACATAAAATAATTCTGGGCAACATTGTTAAATCTGAAAAAAACTGTTTGAACCTTATCTTAAAACCGACTCCTGAAAAAAGTTCAATTCCCCCTGCCGAGCATCATGTAGCAGCTGCTGTGGTTAGTCCTCAGCTGGCTTTGTAAGAGCACATCTCGCTCACAGGACAGAGAGATAAAGGCAGCAGACACCAGCTCAGACTTCATTGAAATAAGACTGACTTTAAGCTTCCTGCTGAGCTCAGTCCCTCCCCTTAGTTTCACTCCACTGCCTGCTCTGCCTGGTGCATCAAAGACCTTGGACATATTTTGCAACCGTCATACAGAGGTGACAATTTTTATCGTACCACAGCCAATTCCATTTATAATTAAACCATGTTGATTACAAGAATGGTGAAACTCAGTGTGCTCGATAAAGTACCACCACAATAAAAGATTGCACAGCCAATGTTGAACAAACGTTATCCCCTTCCAGGGAAATTCAAATCTTAACGACTAATATTATAAATTCCTAAGAATCTCCATTTTTGATCAGGACTTGCTTCATAAAACAAGCTGCTTGGATGATGTCAGCAGTGAGTTACAGTTGTGGCTGGAGCTTGTCTGCGTGAGATGTTCTTAACCCTGAGCTCAATGTCTAATGTCTAATCTAAACTCAAAACAATGCTTGAACAACATGGTTTGACATCATAAACCCACCTTAAAACGTATATGTAATGTAATGTGTATTTCTCATATGACCATAAGGACAATTCATATTGTGTTAAAATGTTATTTTAGGCAATTAGTCAGGAATTGAATTCAGAGCAATTTAAGCCACAATATGTTAAAACCCTTTATTCCTTTAATGTCAAAAACAGCAACCTGAAATAAACTTTAAAATAATTTACCAATTATTTCAAAAGGCAGGTGCAACGTTAAACCAGTGATGTAAAAACAGTAGAAATATGATAGTAAAACATGATTTATATAAAAGAAACACCTGCATTATCCCTACTGTAACAGCCAAATAACTAATTCAGTTAAAGGTTATCCTTAATTGATTTCCTGATCATGATCTTATAAGGATTGATTTGGGATGACGAATCCAAAATTATAGATACAAATCAACAACATGTCAAACAATAAATCCATTGTTCACCATTATGTCCTACAAATATATTCAACAACCTGCAGCCATCCTGTTGGTCTCTGTGTTTCTCAGAAAACACCAAGACTAAGATTGACAGTTCCTAACATCATTTAATATGCAAATATCAAGAACATTTGATCAGGCTACTAAAATGAAGTCCATTTTGTTTTAAAAAACACATGCAAATGACCACAGCACATTGTAATTTGTCCCTAATATTTACCGTGGAGTAAATAAACAACTTGTCCTGCTGAGAGAGAGCGATGGCACCAGAGTCCCTGACATGGTGAGTTAAACTGCAAAACAAACCATGTAGTTGTTCACTCTGTAGGAGGTCCACAGCCTTTTTATAAAAGCTCCTGAAATCGGATATTTTTCTATTCAGACCTGTCTTCTTCAAAAGAATGGAAAGAAGTTAACCCACCATGAGCTGTGAGTTACATTTAGGAAAACATAGGTGGATAAATGTTCGACTCTTGTCTTTATACACAATTAATAATTATGAACAGGTTATACTTTATCATAAATAATGTATAAAACAACAAGAAAGCAATCTTTGTAAAACCTTAAAAATCCCTCTAAAACTGTACATTTGACTGTGGTTTAACCATTTCATGTTTACATGAAGAGTGAACATCACCAGAAGCACTTATTGTGTATCCTTCACAGAGCTGCTAAGAATTGAGACGTACTCTTACTAAGATTGCCATTAAATGCTGCATTACTGTTTTGTAATAGCCAATGATCAATCAGTAGTATTCCTGCTAAAGAGCCTCCAATTGGCAGCACCAAGTTCCTTTACAATGCCTTTGGTGAGCATGAAAGGAATACTACTCCATCTTGATTTAGCATCTCTCTTAATAAAATTTTTAATATAAGTAACTTTTCAATTTCTGCATTACCATCTGGTGACAATTTGTATTGTGCCACAGCCAATTCCATTTTTAATTAAACCATGTTGTTGACAACAATTGGGAAACTCAGTGGTCTATAAAGTACCACCACAATAGATTGCACAGCCAATGTTGAACTAACGTCTTCCGCTTCCAGGGAAATTCAAATCTCAACGACTAATATTTTATCTTCCTAAGAATATCCATTTTCGATCAGGACTTGCTTTGTAGAACAACGCCCACACGTTGCTTGCTTTGTAGAACAAGCTGGTTGGATGATGTCAGCAGTGAGTTACGGTTGTGGCTGGATCTTGTCTGTGTGTGATGTTCTTAACCCTGAGCTCAATGTCGAATTATTGTGTAAAGAACAGCATGGTTTTGTTGTTGATACAGTAGGAATTTCAAAATCTGATGTTTGAAAAAAGGCTTGGACACACTGATTCAGGCTGTTTTCCGCTTTCAAGAACATGTTAAACTCAGAGGAAGTGAGACCCTGAGCCCCGCGGCCTGACGTCATCCTACTACACTGACCCTGAACTCTTGAAAAACACACTTGTTGTTTTATTTGTTGGCACTTGCTGCCATTTGTTTAAACATAAAAAGGGAAACCTACTGTGATGATGGATGTAGTAGCTTATACTTGTAGCCTTGAATAATAAACATTTTCTTTAGAATCCTATTCATTGACTATGTGTAACATAATTGACCTGAACACATCAACCCTTTAAAAAACAGCTGTTATGTAATGTGCTGTATAAAATATGAATTCAGCCTGTTGTTGTGTATTTCTGTATATGAATGTCAGGTTGCCAGTGTCGCAGAATGTTCGGTAAGTAGATTTGAAAGATTAGCCTTCTTATGAATGTGCTTTTCCGGCATTTGTTTGTGAAGTCAGATAACCTGCAGCCCTGCAGCCTCAGATTAACGACCACCAACACTGAAAGAATCAATTTTCCTGTGAATGTAACTCTGGCATATGTTCTGTAGATAGACAATCGCACGGGCGAGTGGGTCTTTCTGTTTGTACGTTCATTTTTTGTTAGACTTTGTAGTTTAAAGAAAGGAAATAAAAAACAATTTCTCCACAACAGCAATTCTTCCAGGGCCTTCATTCCTGTGACAAACAATTACTACATTGTTTCCTGGAAAGGCTTTGTTGGCTTTGTAGACATTTTTCTCCGGTGATTGCAGCTATGGATTTGATTTGATTTCTCACAACAAGAGAGGAATTTAAACAACCAAGGAAATTATAAACACGTGCAATTACAGGTATGTGGCACACTGCATTTGCCACAGTATTGAGGTGTTGTTGTGGATGATTTGCCTCGCAATGTGATTATGTTTTGGTTTATTGCTTGGTTGAGCCTATAAAGACAGATTACAGTTTTCGACATGCCTCTTTGTTCGGAGAAACACACCTACCTGTAGAGTAAAACATGATCTCTGTGGACATGTACGAACACATTGCTTAGCTTTTGGGATGGGTCTAACAAAACCGTCTTCATTCCAGGTTTGATTCTGCATAATGTGTACACACCCACACATTAAATAACTGACAAAACAGATACTTTGAATACACAATTTAAACGTTGTCAATTCACAGAAGTGTGGTTTGGACCTGCTCCATATAAGAAAAGTGACCTGAGCACTTGTAAATGAAGCTAAATTGATAATATTTAAACTTTGACATGTTTAGCTTCAAACAGTCTCACGACCTTTTGGAATTCCTCAATCTTCTGAACTCTTTCACATACTAAAAAGTCATATTCAACATCTTTGGAAATAGGTATTTGCTTTTTTGGCAGAGAGTCAGATGAAAAGATGATTATCACAAGTCACATGTATGTTATATATGTAGTTGACAAGCTTAGCTCAGCATAAAGACTTGAAAAAGAGAGAAACAGCTAGCCTTGCTTTTTCCAAATGAAGCTAAATCTACCTAAGCAGATTTAAAGCCCATTAACAAACATGTTACATCTTGCTCCTGTAAGGGAATAAGCACATTTCCCAAAACATCGCAATAGTCATTTAAAAGTTTAGAAGCCAAAAATTATCCTTTATCTCAGTTTCAAGCAGTTTTTTTTTATGTATTAGTGAAACAAATGAAAATCTGAAAGGGTCAAAACACATTTTCACTCATTTATAAACTTGGAAAATACATTTAAAAAAACAACAACAAAAACAACAACCTTAATTCAGAACTGACATGCCGAAAAGGATGACGGTAATGAATGGGTTAAAACGTGCAAGTCTTATCTATTCATTTAGGTTGTTGACTTGTGAGAAGAATCAATACAAATGCATGACGATAGCACTTGTTTTCATGAACCTTGATCACCAATAGGCCAACAGATAACATCGTTGTTTTCAGCTGCTATTTTGAGCATTAAACTCGTTCCCTGCCAATGATGCAGTTAACAGTTATTTTATATCAGACTTACTTATCATCAAAGAAGTCAGGCCCGTGGACTCCCTTTGTTTTGAAAATAAACCTACAGTAGGGGAACGGGTTGTTGTCCTTGACACACTGCCTGCAGCCTGTTTTAAAACGTAAAGTTTAGAGAGAATTTAGACTGTTGTTTATCCTGGGGTCTGGTAGATTTGTAGATAACATTCGTATAGCATCTGACTCAGCCGAACAAAGAGATCAGATGTAAACTGTTTGAACTGGCACAGAGTTTGACATCTGGTGCCAACGTGAAAACAGACTGCTCTTTGAGAATCATTCAACGCCACCATCTGATTCAACTGAAACTTATATTATGTACTATTGTAGATTGTATACTTCAAATTGCATTGATTTTTATACTGAAGAGAGCTATAATAATTGCAAATAGAGATCATTATCATGAAAAAAACACTTAATAGATTTAAAAGAATACGATGATAAACAAATAGTAAACCGAAGGTGCATGTGTAAACAGTGTTGTGTATATCAATCTTTGGGAATATAGTTGTGTTTATTTATTGTATTTTTTTCTTTCTTTTGTTCTTTTATTTTCAGTGTACTGCAAATATTAAATTAGAGCTGTACAAAATAATAGTGTAAAAATGGTAAAAGACCAAATTAACTCAACCAAACTAAATTCAACTAAACTGCCACTACTATTTTGAAGTGTTGAATATCAATTGAACCTTTATTGAGCTGAGCATAAAACATC